TATTTGACAATGACTAATAATAATAAATGAACTAATTAAAATATTGATAAACTGCATAGATAAACTGACTATAATGCATACATTGAAACAATACTTTGACTAATTGTTTCTGCCAGACTCGGAACTGTTTTTATATAAGGACAGAAACATACAGCATTTTAATAACTTCAAAAAACAGTAGCAAAATGTTAGAAATTTGTGTAGCATTAAATTTACATGGATAATATATGTATATGTTATACACTGAGGTAGAGGTTTCTATGGGATCATAAATATCTATGATTTGTAGTATCTATGATGGGATTTATCATAGATATTATAGTCTATGATATCTATGTATAGTATATAGTCTATAATATACGTAGTATTATAAATTATGTAGTCTGTAATATCTATGGATTTTTTAACCGAACGATGCAATCACAAGGTTAATAAATGCATAGATATTGTAGACTACATAACCAGGATCAGAAAATGATCACGTGATCCTATTCAAATCAATCCAATTATTCAGGTACACTGTAAGTCTCTGTGACAGGTATGCATGTTAACTCCATCCATAATTATTAAAAATTAAAACAAAAATCACAAGAAACTATATAAGATACACAATACCAGTAACAATAATAGTACTCCTTTTTATGATGATAGATAATAATTAATATATTGTGGGATCTTTATTATAATACATAAAACCTGTCACTACTGACAGAAAGAGTAAAGGTGATATTTCAAAAATGAAACAATAAGTGCGGCCTGATAATGTGAACCTCTACATTCACATGTACTATGAGGAAATAGAGAGGCTGCCATTTTGAGATACATCTTGCTGATAAGAGCATTTCTTGAGATAAGCATGACAGGATGCCTGTTGCACATTTTCATTGAAACAACGACAAGCAATGGTGGATTGCTTTAGCAGCTGTAATCCAGACACATATCGACTATCAGCATTCCCTTTTATTAATATAACTGAGAACACTGGTTTAGGTAGTACTGGAAGTATGTTACATGAGGCACCAACAACTATATGTGTCTATAGAGAGAGAAACAAAATGTAAATGTAATTTCTAATTATTCCTTACATCATTAGCATAAGGTGAATAAACTGTAGTGCAGAGACCAATATTTACTATAGTATCAGAGTGAAAATTAAGCTCATCTACTTGTTTGCACTTCCACAGTTCATCAACACAGTCACCATGATTGATAGTTATTGATGATGTTAGGTTTAATCCAGTTAGTGTAGGTATTTTTGGTTTCTTAGACTCAGTTATCAATGACTGTAATGATTCATTAATAATCTCAACCTGATACGTGTAAGACTTGAGCTGTTTCAATACATCACTAGTAGACATATTCTGTAAAGACAAAAAATTACATTGTTTAAAAGGTAGGATGGATACAGCTTAAACAATAAATTGCAGCTGTAGACTAGCTGTCAATGTACATGACTCTGTTACTGTCAATATTATAATACAAATAGAGTCATAGACATATCATTATAATGACTTTGCAACAATGAGACAATGGCTGGCAATTACCAGCTGGCCCTTACCCTCTCTTCCTTCAACAGGTTGATCATGTTTTTGGTTGAAAGCAGCTGGGATAGATATGAACTTGATAACTATTCAATGACAAGAAACTAACATTTAACAATAGCTGAAGCTACTAATATGCACCTTTAAATCATCAGTCTGGTTTACTAGAAGAAGGAGGGGGAAAGAGAGAGAGGAAGAGGAAAAAGAGAGGCATGTCTATTGTCATATTATACAACGGTTGGTCAGGCTGAGGCCAAAGGTCCCATAAGTAACAAATAACAAAGGTCAAAGTGCTGACTATGGATACCCCAATTGAAATATTGTATAGAGGTTTTATTTTCTTGGTATAAAATTTTGCAAATTCATCCAAATTTGCCATTTGTTAATTAGTATAAATTTTTTTTAATTCTTGTGAAACCATTTTTCCTAGTGTGCCACACCTCTTTTGTGGAATCTAATTTCACAAATTTAATGGAAATTAGCGAAATTTATTTTTAGCCCTATGGTATCATATGCATATACCTGTACACTGGCAACTGTCCAATGGATTCACACTAAAAGCAGCAGTAGTAGGAGGTGACTGAGTGATGGTAAGAGTACTGACATCATTAAGAGATTGAGCCCCCATCTCTCCTTTGAATATAACTAATAAGGAAACATAGTGATATATGTTTTACATTAACATTAATTGATGTTTTTGGTTTAAATTCTATCAAATGGCAGTGTGTACAGATAATCACACAATAGTCCTTACTAATCAATGCCAGGCTAATAGCAGTAACTGTAATTAGAACAGTCAATGTGGCCAGTGCTGCTAGTATATACTCCCAGTTGGTTAGTTCTTCATTGAAATATGATCTTATTCTCTTGTTTGTCCTTTTAATATG